AGATAGCCAGGTGCCCATGGCTGTCCCTCGTGACTATGTATCTAACATAGAGAGGCAAAACTACGTGGGGAAAAAAAGTCAGATCACTATCTGGTCAGGGCTAGGCTTGGACTTAAGACTGACGACAGTGAACAAGAGGGAACTTCTTGGCTTCGGCAGAAATATTCTATATCTCAGTTGTGCTGGTGGTTATGGGATTGCATGTTTGTTATTGTATATAAATTGTATCTCAAAAAATGTGACCATATCATGTAGTAAATTGTTATAAAAATGGTGAACGACATTGGCTTTAAAACAAGGTAAATGCATGTTTAGCCCTAATTCATAATGTTCGTCATAGCATGACTAACGGTGCGTTCCCTCTGGTCTGGCTTCTGAAGTGTGCCTCCTTTTATCCTCCTCTGCCGAGGGGGATGCTACAGAAGCTTGCACATAGTAGTCATGCATATATAATTGCTAAATGATTGACACTGAGAAACAGATGTCATGTGTGAGTGGGAACACTTAGCAGCTTAATAAATACAGTAAGCTTGAAAATTGGTTATGACCACTAAATTCAAATGTTCTGTAGTCAGATACAAAATGATCTGCAGTCCTCCTAAAATAATGGTGATGACTTTAACAGAGGCTAGCTGCTGCATCCCCGCTTGAATATAAGTCCTAGTGGGTTGAAATCTGAATTCATTTGGTGACCAATTTTCCAAAGCTGTGTGCCAAGACGAACCCACTTGAAAACTGTGTGCTCTCGGACTTGGCTGTAAGACCAGGCCAGCTGAGGTGGGCTGGCCCAGCATCTGCTGCCTTCATTGTGCTTAATGCTGCATCCATCTGCTTTCTGTCAAAGCTGGTGCCAACAAATTACTAATCTATTAGAGAAACATGGAAATAAGATCGCACTCCTCATTCCTGGCTTTTCCTCTCATATTTTGCTTGGCTTACATATTTGGTTTCTGTTTATCTTGGGAAGAAAGATATGCTATCAAGTGGGGGGGTCAGTTTTTGCCCCATCCACACATCTTTGAGGCTGGTGGGGAGGAGTGTCGCACTGGTTGATGATGGCACATGCAGTTGCCATTCCTCAGGCAGCCCTGCCTGCCCTGTACTAGTCACCCTGTGTGTTCCCTTAGCATCACCTGTCTCCAGGTGACAGTACTGCTTGCAGTGCAGAAAGGTTAAATAACTCCTAAAGGTCACACTGCCAGGAAGTGTCAGCACCGGTGCTCAGACCCTGCTCCTAAAGCCTCTGTTTCATCCATTGATGCCTCAGAAGCCATTTGAAGCCTTTTGGAAATTTTTTTACCAGACACATGAGTGTAAGGAAGAAAGAAAAGAAAAGGGGGCTTTGCATTTCTCTTCTCAAATGAGGCCTCTACATTAGAATATTTACATGGATGTGCACTTTTGAGTCAACCCAACTGAGTGGAGAAAAATAACCTGGCTTCCCAGCCCCAGATGGGCCCTTGGAAGTACATGCACAGCCTGTCGGCGACACAGTGGCTATGCTCCAGCACCTGCCCCCCAGGACAGGGTCTCCTGCTGGGAGGCATAGCCTGATACCCCACGTTGGAAGCACAGCTCTTTGCTCTTTGGTCCCTAAGGGGGAAGAGCCTGGAGTACAGTGCAGAGTACCCAAACCTCTTTGTTGTTCCTTCCCTTATGCTCACTGAGATACAGCCTGGACTGCCAGTTAGACCTGAGATACAGAACTGGAAGTAACAGCATTTCTCTATTCTAACTGTGAGAAGAGCCAGACAAGATCAGGAACCTTCTTTGTCTAATAAAACCACTTTAGGAGTGTAGTCTGCCATAGCTATGTCTAAATGCTTGTTTTCTACCAGATTAAAGTGTTATTTCATTTCCTTTGAAAGCAGCAGGCACATATGCTTTCACTGAAAAAGGCTTCTCACCAGTGAGTCACATAGCTAAGGTTGGGGGAAGGAGGAGAGTAGCCCCAAGTCATCCATGAGTGTGTGAATTTGTTATGTGTTCAGTCCAACTATGAGTGAGCATGATTGTTTTTAATAAGAGCAAGAGCCACAGAGGAGCACTGTAGTCTACTGACCTTAGCAGATAACCTGGGAGGGAGGCCATGAGGTCAGGGTGGAGGAAGGGCCCTACAGCCCAGCCCACCAGAGTGCAGAAGGTATGCATTCCACCAAGGTGGCCCTGGCCACCAGCCACGAGTTTGCATGTGACCCAGGGATGGGAGATTCCAAGACAACTTTAACACTTTCTGTAAGGAACTTAAACCGGTGAAGTTTGTTTTCTCTAACATTTTACTTGAAAACAGTGTAAGATTGATTATTTCTGCACAGCCTGACTGCAGCATAGTGTATTTTGGTGAGGAAGTGGTTTCAGTGTCAGGGGCTGTCCGTCACAGCCTGATGGTGCATCTGGGGCACTGGGGTCCTCCTGCCCAGGTGCCCCCTCCCCAGCCCCAGTGTCTCCCTTGAGCCTGCTATTGTTGAGCACCTGGCCTCCTCCTCAGCCTCCCAGATGTGTAGGCTAGAGAAGCTGCTGACTTGAACAAGGCTCATGCTGTTGCTAGCATGGCAGTTTATTGTCATGCCCCACGGTCAGTCTATGTTGTGGCCTGCTTCAGCCCTTTCTGTCTTTGAAGTAAACGTTATGGTTGGACCCCTCCTGTCTGTATTAACCGGCATGACACTGCTTTGGGAGTACAGTGGCAGTGTTGAGGAGCGATAGATAGACTTTCTGGCCCACAAAGCCTAAAATATTTATTATCTGGTCTTAGCAGAAAAAAGTATACTGGCTTGTGGTCTACACAACACTGACCTCCTCATCATTTGTGAATAATAACACATAATTCACGTGCAGCCCAAGCAGGAGGCCTGAAGGATACACCTGGCAAGGTTGAGCACCCAGTAAGTGGAACTCTGTTGAATTCCTTGCTGATTTGTAGGGGAAGCTGCTTTATGTGTGTGAGTTGGAGAAAACCTGGTTTTATAATTGTGGTAATGTTGCTCATTAAACATTCTCTTTCTTCACCCTGGGAGAGGCCAGGGTCAGATGTGATGTGCTGGGACTCGGTGCCACACTCATAGCCTCCCGCAGTCATCCCTGGGCATTCTGTATGGCTTCAGTTATTAGCCCTACAGCTATGGGACAAGTTACTTAGCATGTGTGCCTTAGGTTCTCATGTCCAAAATGATGTTGACAGTAACATCTACTCTTGGGCCTCACAGAAATCAAGGGGTTAACACAGAGAACCTGGAACTGAGCCTGGTGCCTGGTAAATGTTAAAGAGTTTGCTTTTATCATTGTTGATCTATTTCTCTTTCCATTGGGAATCCTTGAGAAGCTCCTCATCTTCAGGGTTAAACCACATACATAGAAGCCCATGGGGGCCCTGCAATCTGTCCTTTTTACCCTGCTGCCCCCAACTCAGCCCCCTCTGGCTCTTGGTGACTGTCTTGAGTGTTCTCTTGCCCGTGTGCAGTATTCATGGCCACTGATCCATGGGGGCTCTTCCCCTCCTTGCTCTGCTCCTGTGTAGCTGCAAAGTCCCTCCACCTCCTGCTCAGATTCAGATGACTTTACTGTGTCTGGGGTTCAGTCCTGATGCTCTTCAGGTGGAGGATATCAGAGGAATGTTGTTTACAGGGTGGAGAAAGGAAGGAAGGTGAGAGCAGCCCACCTAGGGGTGCCGTGTGGTCAGGAAGGCAGAACTGCTTTGGTCTGAGAAGTCTCTACCACCCCACCACAGACTCACTCCTGCCTCCGTCTCTCTGGTTTGACTTTGGTGTCTTTTCTCATCTTTGCCCATCCTGCTCTAACACATTTGCATGTAGATCGTGAACTTCCCAAGTATAGGAATCTCCGGGGTCATTCAACTTTATGTCACATACAATGTGTGTATTGTTAGGTGGATGGGGAGAATCTTTTAGAAAGTAATAAGGACTGATTGAGAAATGCTGATCTGTATTCTACAAATAGCTCTGTCTTTTTACATTTTTTATTTCAACCACCCTTTATTGGGATGCAATGTGTTTGGGTGGTGGAACCCATGGGTTCCGGAGTCTGTTTGCTTGAACTTCATTCCAGGTTACTAGCTCTTTGATTTCCCTCACTTGTAAACAGAGGTATCTGCATTTCATATGATTATTGGGAGAAATTAATGAATTCAGTGGGGCAAAGCCCACGCAGTGGTTCCACAGTTAACATCTGCTTCTGCTATTATTGAAGTGGTATCATGTATGCCTTTAATTTACTAGAATTTAATTTGTATACATGCAATCAGAATAGAAGGTAGGAAGAAGGAGGAAACAAAACCACTAAGAGCCGGAGCCCTTACAGCTACACTCTGCTCCCTGAGCTCCCGAGCATGGGCAGATTTGGGAGGTAAGGTTGTGGTTCCTGTTTCAGCCGCCAGTCCTGCCTGCTTCTTCTCATGCCACCATTTTGCTGTGCCCAGTGTCACACTGGTGTTTGGAATCGTAAGATAATGGGACCTAAGCACAAACCAGCCACTTCATTGGGCGCCCAGGCAAAATTATACTTGGTTGTTCCCAAAGTTGGTGAAAAGCCATGTTGGACATTGACACCACCCACCCCACGTCTTGGAGGCTAACCTGGCCCTAAGTGAACTTGCCCTACCGTGACTGTTGGCCTAGGACTGATGTGATAGAGCAGTCCCAAAGTGGCCTTCATCAGAATACTTGCAAATTCCAACAATGACTTTGGTTACAGTTTAAGAATATTAAAGCAAAGCTTATTGCTGGTATTCCATTTTAAGATTAGCTTGCCTTTCTCCTCAACATTTCAGGGGCCTGGGGGGCAGGGGATTCTTTGGGGAATGTGCAGAGAAAGCATATTTTGAGACTGGCAGCCTCATCTACACCAACAGGAAGGGCTAATGGGGAATCATGATTAATACTCTGTGGTGAGCACATTGTTGCACAGAAAGTATTTCCAGGGAGTGTTTTCACAAGTATAAGGACTAAATTAAAACCTTTAATCTGTGTTTGCTTTTTGTTTAGGTAACTACTCCAGACCCCCAACGTATAGTGGGGTGCCCAGTGCAAGCTACAGTGGCCCAGGGCCTGGTATGGGCATCAGTGCCAACAACCAGATGCATGGACAAGGGCCAAGCCAGCAATGTGGTGCTATGCCCCTGGGACGGATGCCGGCAGCTGGGATGCAGAACAGACCATTTCCTGGAAACATGAGCAGTGTGACCCCCGGCTCTCCTGGCATGTCTCAGCAGGGCGGGCCAGGCATGGGGCCGCCGATGCCCACCGTGAACCGGAAGGCACAGGAGGCCGCTGCAGCCGTGATGCAGGCTGCTGCCAACTCAGCACAAAGCAGGTAAGCCGCTGGGGCTGAGACAGCTAGGTGCAGTGCTGACACACGACCAGGCAGCAGATACTAGAACAGCAGAACACACTTGCATTTGACGATTCTTTTTGTGTCAAATACATGCTGTATCATAAAGGTCAGAGAAGTGAGTGACCATGTTTTATGATCCGCTGAGGAAGGAATCTGAGCAATAGGCTCAGCTTATCAGTTGTGGAAAGTGTCTTAAAAATGTCTATTACAGTCATTGACACCAGCATACGAGATCCTGGTGCATAGTGAAATGTCTTAGTTCCATTTAAAAGAAATTTTGAGAAGGAAGCATGAAAGGCAAAATATTTAAAATCCAAATCATTGAAAAGGATGCATGGCCCCCACTTTTTTTTTTAACCTACAATAAGAATCTTTGTAAAAAGAAACTTTGCGTGTGCTGGCCTAACAGTATTTGTCTAGGATTTGTACACTTCGTATCCTTATGCTGAAAAAAAAATTTTTTTTCTGGGCATAATTACATCCAAACCAAAGTGTGGTCAACAAAGCAAAGATAGTATTTCCGGAAGTTTCAGTTGATGGAGCAAGGTTTCAGCTTCTGTTGCTTGCTTGGTTTTAGCCCCGGTTCTTAATATTAATTCTTAAAGTAATACTTGACCTGTATAAATAACAACAGAATCAGAAGTTTATGAGACAAAGATGACTGTATTGTAAAAAGCACATTAGAAGATATTTATCTCAATGTTATCTTCAGAAGAAAGAATAGAAGATTCTGAATCATGTGAAAGGGAAATAAAAACTGAGAGAGAGAGAGAGTGTGTGTGTGTGTATGTGTGTGTGTGTGTGATGGGGACCCCTCCAGTCCCACTGTTTGCTCCAAACAATGATACATTTCCCTTGAGGAATTAAAATGAAAATCACCTACACGTTTACCCCCACCTCCATTACAGTCTCTTAAATTCCTCTGAACACCAGCACCTGCCTTGTAGCCAACATGCTCAGGCTGTGGGGATGTTTAGATAAACCTGTCTGTGAAGACTGGTTCAGCCGGTCCAACTGAAGTTCTGATTTAGGTTTAAATGAATTGTCTATTGTTGGAACTCAAAGCACAAGTTATTTTCCTTCTGTTAAGTAGGAAGTATGTGATTGCATTTGTCATGAGGCTCTGAAGGTGATCTGAGAGGATAACAGAGATTAAGGCAGAATTCTGCTAGATTAGAAAGTCTTGCTGTGTTCCCTTTCCGGGCCAGTGTGTGTGTGTCATCTTTAGAATTCAATGTGTCTTTATTTTCTGTTTGTAATCAGTAGACCTTTCCAAAGCCTTACCTTCACATACTGCCCATTTTAGCTCTCTGGGAGTTTAAAAGGGGGCTGCTTATTTTAGTTTTCGATTTTACCAAAGTCAGAGCTATACTTCACATGTGTAAACAGATTAGATCTGAGAATCTTATTTTTTTCCCTCCTGTGCCCTGCCCACCCCAACATTTTTTTTTTTTTTTAAGAAATTTTATCCAGACCCACCCAAGGCAGCTGCATGGTGCAGGGTATTCTGCCTGTTTGTCCCCTTCTGTAACCCCCATACCTACATGTGGAATAGCATGCAGACAGGGATTCAAACTTGTGCTACAGAACAAATCCAAAGAAGCTGTTCTTCTGTTCCACTTTAGGCCACCACACATTAGGTCGCCTGCTTATCCCAGCCAGTCTGGGGCTGGCGGACGCCCCATGTTTTCTTCCCAGCACCCCAACTATGGCAGCTCCCAGGCTCCCATGATGCACCAGGCTGACCAGTACGGGTAGGTGGCAACAAACCCCGGGCTTCTGCGGGACCTGGGTGTTTTCTCCTAAACATTCAGGAACGTGCCATCTGGCTGCAGGAACGCCCAGGCCAAGAGAGTAGGAAAGCCACCCGGGGCAGTTCGTCTGTCTGTCCTCCTGTGTTGTGTTCCTTTTGCTTTTCACTGTCTGTACTGCAGCAGTTTGGGGGAAGCCTGCATGTCGCCCTCGGTTCCTGTCTGTGCATGGCTTTGGCATGCCTGCTTTCCTTCATGCCTGAGAGGGACCGCAGAAACCTCTATCTGCGTGAAGCAGCGTAGTCGCCTGCTCGGACATCCTTTCCCCCTCACTGTCCCTGTTTTGTTTGGTTACCTGTGTTGTGCAGCACTGTCCTCCTGACTGTGATGACCACACCTGCCACCACAGTGAGATGCCGTCACCCAGAGTGGCGTGTCATGAGACCTGAGACCCATGCTGGCCTGGCCCATTCAGAGGGCGTAGGAGAAGTTTCCTCACTGTGTCAGTGAGCCAGCACCTGTGCCAAAGGGTTGTGTTATTTCCTTCCAATGAGATTAGAATGTTGAAGCACCAGGAAAACACAACCAGATAACAACACAGAATTTTCTACCTGAACAGTGTAGCCATATTTTTATCAATTTCAATACAGGAATTACATACAGCAACAAAAAGTACTTCTCTTCTTTCCTTCTATAAATCTACATACTGGCCGGTGCCTGTCGTACCAGTGACTTGCAACTTAGTGAGACCCTGTCTCAAAAGAGAAAATAAGGGTTGGGGATGTGGCTCAGTGGTTAAGCGCCCCTGGGTTCAATACCCAGTACCAATAAAAAAGGTAAAAAGGTATACACTCCGAGGCCCTGTCACCATTTTTAGGTTAATAAATGCCCTTAAAGCACACCACTGCTGAGTGAACTGTTGGCACTGTTTTGTGTATATTGATCATAAGATCATTGTATATAGACTTCAATGTGCTTGATACTTCCAGTAAAGACATACCTCTCTTTGGTTAACATGAAACAGATTCTTGTCAACTAGCTTTGTTTCAGCAGCAAGCTTAGCAAACTACACGTTCACTACTTGTTATGGGTGGGTGACAGAGCTTCTTAATACCCTTATATTCAGTCTACATTTATTTAGACATCAGAGGAAATGATCATTTCATAACTGAGAATTATGCGTTCTGTGAGCATGGTCCTAAATTTGGACCAACAAATACAGAATTCTTAATATAATCCTCAGAGTAAAATAACAACCACAGAACGAGGCAGACATTCTCATTCTTCGGAAATTGCCTTTTCCTCTATTGTGCTTTTTCCCTTGTACCTTCAAGGTCAGTTCACGAAATAGTAGGAAGATCATGGTGAGGGAGGAAGGTGTTTGTCTTCAGCCTCAGACCCCAGGCTTGTCCTTCTCCTCAAAGGAGCATTGTCTACTCCCACCAACCTCATCTGGCTGGGCTTTGCCAAGCCCTGTGAAGCAACTGCAGAAAGTGAATTTAAATGGTGTGCATCACAGTAAAATCTGTTCCACGGGGGCAGAAAATCAATGTTAGCTAACCAGCAGGAGAAGATCCAATCTGTGTTTCAGCCAGTGGCATCCAGGTAACTTCCTTACAATACAACACCTCCTCCTTTAAAAAATTTTTTTGAAAAAAATGTTGGATTGTTCTGTGTAAATCTTACCACATACATTGGCAAAGGCTCGTCTTTGTAGCCCTGCACCTGTTGGTTTACAGTATTTACACTGTGTTTACAGTATTCTCTATCAAAAAGAAAAGAAAAGAAAGTTTGTTTCTATTTTAAACCTGCCTTCTGTTCCTTTGCCTATTGTGCCTTTTTTAAAACAGAAATTGAATTTGGAAAAAAAAAAAGTGTGTGTTCCATATTTTAGTTGGAGGTTGGGAGATTTTATGTTTCCATATTTAATAACATTGTGGCAAAACTTGCATTGTTGGTTTTCTTTTCCTCTCTCCCCCCATTGATAACTCTGTCAGGTGAATGTTAGTTGGTCATTTGGAAGACAATTGTGAAAAAGCCAGTTTCCTTTTGGAAAGGAGGCCCTGGTGTGGGCCTTTCAGGGGCCCTGTATTCACAGGGTCCTCTAAAGAGCCTCTTAAGTTAGAGTCCCGAAGTCCTGGAGCCTGTGAAGAGTCCGGAAGTACAAGTTAATGAGGAGGTGAGGAATGAGGCTGCAGTTAGACAGCTTGGTGACAAGATGAAGGATTGTGTCAGTGGTATCTTCTAGCCAGTTGAGTGTAAGGTATACAGAGAAAACACACAACCAACTGGTCAGAAGCCACGTTATCAGTTCCTCTAAGAGTGGCACCATGCCTGTAAAAAATCCACCTGCTACGTTGAATAAGTACATATAGGTATATTTTTTTCACCCATTGGATAAAAGAATTCTTCCTTTCACTTTTTAGAGGATGCACAGTAGAAGGCGGTGGATCTCGTTCAAGTGGTATCTTGATGCCCAGTCAACGTTAATGATTTATAAGTATTACCTGTACAGAACTGACAGGCTTTTGCTCAGAAGATGCATTGCTGTTTAATTAACAATCAAGCCTATAATTGTTAATGCAATGTTATTGGAGAGATTTGAGAAACAGAGTTGGAAATACTATTTGATCTTACCAAAAGCCCATCCTGATAGATGTTCATAGCATCAGACAGGAAGATTCTGAGCATGGGAGAGCCACAGCCTGCCAGAAGCCTGGAAGAGCCCACAGCTACTGCCTCCTCAAATGCATTCCCAGCTCTAAGAGTTTTTGACTGACTGAATCTATGTTCTACAACCTTGATGGTTGAAGCGAGCACACACACACACGTCTACAACTAACATTCCCTGGGTTGTTTCTTGTGCTTTGCACCCCATTCCTTATTTCTGGATGGCACGAAATAGTGTTCAACAATTGGCATCTCTGCCATAAACAACTGATTGATAGAGCTGGATATTTCAGAATTATCCAGATTTTTTTTCTTGGAAATGAGCTCCAAGCAGGAAGCATGACTTCACTGAATTTATAGAAGTTCTAACAAGCCCTACATCTTTAAACTAGGGTATGTGAGTAAACAGATTTTAATTCCTCATATATATAAACTAGAGTCAAGTCTTTGGTTACATGAAAATGGAAGAGAAGTCTGGCACCAGTCTTTAGGATCTTTATTCTGTTTCATAAGAACGACTTCCAAGAAGACACAGAGCTTCAGTTACGGAATGACAGAGCCCTGGAGCTGGAAGGCATCGGTCTGGACACTGCTCCAGCCTGTGCTCCTTGACTTTCTGGTGGAGGAAACAGACCTGTGGGTGCCCACTGAGGACCACTGAGTTTGGAGACAGGGCACAGCAGAGGTGGGCCTATAGCTCTCTTCTCCCTCTGTAATGCTGTTCCTAAACTAGATTTTTCTTTAAAAAATACAAAAATACTCTCTATTATAGAGTTCTCCTTTGTGCCTAAAGGCAGCCTGCAATTAGAAAGCAAAGAATGAGCAACTGAATGGAGACCCTGCCTCATGCTCAGGGCGAGGCCAACTGCTCTTCTGCACTGAAAGGCTGCTGCACACACCCTGGCAACCCTTGAACAGCTCAGGAGGCCGTTTGCTTCTCAGGCCCGACACCTGCAGTGGAAGTCACACACACTTGCCAGCACGTGACGGGTTTGTGCAGCAGTGGTTTTCCCCATCTGATCGCCCCCGCCTATACGCAGCAGCATTTAACACTGTTGGGGCTGGCATGCAGCTGTTAAAGTAAGAATGGAGAGTCGTGGATGAGGGCATTTCCTGCTGGGTGGGGGGCAAGGGGACACCTGTGTACTCTGGGACAGGCACTGTCATCCTTTTGCTGTCCCCAGTGCAGTAACTAAACATCAGACAAAAGGAAACTCTCAGACTGCCTACATGTTAAAAATGAGCAAATAAAGGGCAAAGTCAACCAGTATAAAGTGTCATACTCTTGACTAGAAGACTGTTGTTCTAACAAATACCACTAAGATGCATATGTGTACCTACATTTTAATTCTTACATCACAACAAAAACTAGGGTCACAAAATTAGTTTTAAAAATATTTTTGGTTTAAGTAAAATGAGAAATTGAAAATTTTAATTAATACTCATTTTTTCATCTTAGCCACTCATTAACAGAGTAAATGAACTCCACTAGGTCCTAGCCATAGGATCCCTAGATCAGTAGCAATCCAACTGTTTAAAGTGTAGAAGCAAGTTGGGCACGGTGGTGCATGCCTGTAATCCCAGCAGCTTGGAAGGCTGAGGCAGGAAGATCACAGCCAGCCTCAGCCAAAGCGAGGTGCTAAGCAACTCAGGGAGACCTGTCTCTAAATAAAATACAATATAGAGCTGGGAATGTAACTCAGTGGTCAAGTGCCCCTGAGTTCAATCCCCCTTCCCACCATCCCCCCAAAAAAAGTGTGTAGAAGCAGCTGTACATTCTGTAAGAGGATGTGGCCAGCCGTCTCCCCTGCTCGGAGACAGCTGGATCTATTCACAGAGGCGAATCCGTTGGTCTGGCTTTCAGGCACACCAAGTTGCTGCTGTCTGTGCCACATGCGCATCTCACATCCACATGGCCCCTAGCCACTGTTCATTACTGAGACTCAGTTGTCATTCATGTGCTGTGCTGCCGTATGCCAATGAGGCACTTTTTCTGTGTTATTTTCTTCTGAAACCTGTGTGACGCAGTGACTGATGGACAAGGAGCCACCGATGTGGAAATACTTTAATGGAGAGAGTACATTAAAATGTCAAAGAGAAGGGCCAAAAAACTTGTGAATGTGTCAAGCCCCAGTTACAATGGTGTCCCTGTGCCGAGGAGCAGGGGATGATGCATTCACTGAGATCCAGCCCTTTGGATTTTGGACAACTAGGTTTTAACGTAATAGCTATGATTTGAAAAGCCATGTTATTGAAAGACAAAGAAGAAAGATCTCAAAGGCTGAAATAGAGATTTTATTTCTGCAGTTAAATGTAAGGCTTGCATTATTGTC